GAGCTACCACTTCTCTTTCCCAGTGCACACGTGTGCACGCGCACACACACACACACACACAGACATGGAAAAGTACAACGGTATATGGTACAAAAACCTCTGTTAAGGGCAACATGAAGGGTAGAGACCCTATGTGTAGCTGCAACAGGGGAGGGAAAGATCACTTCCAGCTAGGGTGGCTTCAGAGGCTGAGTGATGAGGGTTGGGCCTGTAAGAATGAGCAGGACCAGGACCTCTAAAGGGAGTAAGAAGGCAGTTGGCAGGAAGTAAATGACACATAAGGACAATGAGAGGGAAGAATAAGGCATACTTGGGGCACAGTGAATGAGGGCAGAGAAGTGCATGACTAGGTTGGGAATGTGTGTCCTGGGGCTCAATTCTGATGGATGCTGAATGTCAGGATGAAGAGTGTAGGATTTACTCTGTGGATGGTAGGTATACTGTCAGCGCCTTCAAGCAGGAGAATGGCAGTTAAAAGCAGGGAAGAGTAAAGTTTAATTTGATGGTAATATGCAAGATTTATCTGAAGGAAGGGGCAGGGCTGGAAGCAGGAAAACTAGAGAAGAGATTATTTTAAGAGTTCAAATGAGAAATGGTGAAGCTCTAAGGTAGTGACAGATTCAGGAGATACAGTGAAGCAGGAAGTAGGGCTTTGTCTGTGGGAGAGGGAGAAATCAGATGTCTGAGACCTTGATTTCAAGTTGGGGCAACCTGACCATTTAATAAAGATAGGCCGGTATAATTAATGTAAGACCAGGAACTATAGTCAAACAGCTGAGTTTTCCCTCCCTACCTCCTTCTAGGTCCCGCCCATCATCTGAGGCCCAAGTCAAGGTCCTTTTCCTCCTTGAAGCTTTCTCTGTTTATTTCCAGCAACCCTGGCCATTGCCTTCTCTGAGCTCCTATTGGCCCACTGACAGTGGCCCAAAGTCACTGGCCTAGTGACTTTTCCTTTAGCTTTTTCTCCAAGTGGCCTTATATGAAGAGGCTTTCTGCCTACCCAGAGAGCATATCATTCACCAAGGTGAAAGATCTTCCTCCTCTGATACCTAGCCCTTTTCACTTAAAGAACACGGTAAAGTGCTAGATATCAGTAGGTCCCTGAGAAATAATTATTGATTCATCAGTGATCACAGGGAAGGAAGTTGAGTAGAGAAAATGGGAGATAACATGGGGACATATTGAGATAGTAGTCCTCATTCTAAGACCTAGGTTGGTTCTCAAGCCTGGCAGTAACCAGCTTGTGTAACCTTGAACAGTTTACTTAAATCTCTCTGAGCCTTGGGTTTCTCATTCATCTAATGGGGCAAAGACTCTTTACTCACAGGCTGTTGAGAGGGTACTTGGGATACCCCACTGTCCTACATAAAGCAGCTATCCCCGTGTAGGGCACATGGCAGGCACTCAGTTAATAGTGAGGTTCCCAAAGGTCTCTAGAGGAAAGTATTGTTTCCTTGTGGTTGGCCTTTGTCTCCCTCATCCTGACATACCTCAGTAGATATATAAGAAATAGTTATGATTGCCTTTTATTGAGTGCCCAAGATGTGAAGATTTTGGTGTGTTACAGAGGTGATGTCAGCACATTAGGAGTGACTTACCCAAGGACACACAGTAGTGATGATTCTGTCTCTGGGGACTCAGAGAGGTCTCCTGACTCCAGTTTTCTGCCCAGACAGAAGAGGCATCCACAGTGCCTTGTGTTTCTGTGTCTCATATACCTGTGCTTCCCAGATGTTTATCTAGAAGTTAAAATAATGGGGCAGAAGAACAACTGATGGTGCAGTATTTTTTTCCATCTCATAATCTATTGATCTGATAATGCTGAAGCTCATATAGTATATATGGTTCCTCTTACTATGTTTCCAAATGATGCCTCTGATAGCTATGCAATTTTTTAAATTTTTTAATTTTTAATTTTTTATTTTTTGAGATGGAGTCTCACTCTGTCACCCAGGCTGGAGTGCAGTGGCGCTATCTCGGTTCACTGCAAGCTCCACCTCCTGAGTTCACGCCATTCTCCTGCCTCAGCCTCCCGAGAAGCTGGGACTACAGGCGCCTGCCACCATGCTCGGCTAATTTTTTGTATTTTTAGTAGAGACAGGGTTTCACCATATTAGCCAGGATGGTCTCGATCTCCTGACCTCATGATCCGCCCGCCTTGGCCTCCCAAAGTGCTGGGATTACAGGCGTGAGCCACCGCGCCTGGCCAGCTATGCAAATTTTTATTGCAAAATCATGTATTTTATGGGAGGTTGAAGGAACTATTTGTTGAAGGTCTACTATATGCTAAACACTTCATATAGCCATTTTTATTTATAATTCACAATAATCCTGATACAGAAAATCTTACTCCCATTTTCTAGAAGAGAAAACTAAAGCTCACAGAATTTTAGTAACTTTTCTAGGTTGACACAACTAGTAAGTGGCAAAGCTGGTATTTTAGCTGTTGATCTCCACAGTAAATAGACTGGTTGCTATAGTATACGTTATATGGTGACCATGTGATGTCATCCACATAAAGGAATTCAACACCTATTGATGAGGATGATAATAAACATGAAATAATCTCTCTTGGGTTTGGACATCTGGGTTGTGGTGTTCATACAAATTTAGTTAGAGCAAAAACTCAATGTATTGTACTCAACAAAGCCTAGCCCAGCTTTCGCACTAGGTTGAAATGCCACCTAATCTGTATATTAAAAGCTCATTAAAACCTAAGTGTGTAGAAGAGCATTCTTGCCTTTTCTTCACTAAATTTCTATTTTTGGACCTGTGCCATACTGTTTGGATTATTACGAGCTCTCATATGTTAAACAACTAGAACCCCTTTATCATGACTTTTATTAATTTCTTGCCTATCCTTTTCCATTTGATTTTTTTAAAGAGACTTTTGAAGGAAAATCTACCAAGCTTCCAAATGCCGGCAGGGTGGGGGGCAGGAGTGATAAAATTCACAGCTTTACAAGACTGAATCATCATCCCATCCAGGAATCTGGTATCCTAATTGTCTAATTATCCAACAGGCACATTTCTTTTCAATTATTTCAAAATTTAGAATTTACTTTAGATCTTCAATAACTGCTAAAAGTTGATCTGAAAATAATCAGGCTAAAGACCAAGGCCCTTTTTAACCTGGCTTGTGAAGTGGTTTCTGTATAAGAGGTAATTAGTGACCTACCTACTTCAAGTACTGCAATGAAGATGAAACAGAAAAAGGCAATGGGACAATATGATATATAATATTTTGGAACTTAGTAAAGGAGAGCAAGACTTAAGGTAGCAAAACCAGAAAGGGATCTTCCACCATAGACCAGGAGTGGGGAGTTGTTTGCCTAAAAAAAAGTAGCAAGAGTGGAAATGTAAGAAAAGTGGAAAGATCCAGAGATATTTAGAAGAGAAGGTCAAGATTACTTGGTGGCAGGGAGGAAGAGAGAATGAGGGATGATTCCCAGATTTCTTGCTTGGGCAACAGTGTGGGTTCTAGAGCCATCTATTAAGATAAGAGAAACGAAGAGGGGGGAGTTTTGTGTGTGGAAAAGATCAAGGAAGGATGGTAAAATCACTTGGGACATATTGCATTTGAGGTCCTTCAGGGACATTCAGGTGGATATATCTAATCGTTAATTAAAATGGATCTGAATCAAATTTATACTGAAGTTCATGTAGAAAAAAAAACATACAAGAATGTTTAGGAAAAAAGGGAATCTACTGAGGGGGCCTAGCTCTACCAGATATATGAAATTATATATGCTCTATAATTCAACTGGTATATGGATAGCAAACAGACCAATGAAATAGAATAGAAAGCCCAGAAAGTTTTCCAAGTACATATGGAAATTTGATATGTAATAAAGGTGGCATCTCAAATCCCTAAAGCAAAGATGGACTTTCTGATGCCAGAACAACTGAGAAACCAATTGGAAAAAGAAAACAAAAGATCCGTGAATACTTTATGCCATACACAAATATAAACTCTAAATGTAAAGAAAACCATATGAATACTAGAAGAAAACATGGGTGAATGCTTCTTGGACCTTATGTAGGAAAAGATTTCTTAACTATGAATCGAAATTTAGAGGCAATAAAAGTTTAATAAATTTGACTACTTTTTTTAACGCATGGCAGAAAAACACCATAAACAAAGCCAAAAAGCAACTGACAAACTGGGGACAAAATTGCAACATATGTAACAGTTAATGTATTAAGAAAACTTGAAAATTGAGGTGAGAAAGACCAACAACCCACTAGAAAAATGTGGAAAAGACATGAACAGACAATTCACAAAGAAAGATATTTAAATTGTCCTTAAACAGAGATAAGGCAATATAAAATGCCATTGATACTACTTCTCAACTATTATATCAGTGAACATTTAAAAGAATGTCATAGGTTATGTTGGGAAAGGTGTTGGGAAACAAAACACTATACTACTGGTGGGAATGCAAAAATAGGTCTGAGATTCTGGGGAGGGAATAGCCTGGAGATGTAGCTCTGGAAGTCATCGGTCTTTACAGGAAATGAATGAGATCGAACAGGGAGACAGAACTTGAGGACTGAAGAGAGAGGAGGCCCAGGACAGAACCCTAGGAACACCGCCACTCAAGGTGGCAGCTCAGCTTCCTGGCAGCTCAGCTTCCTGGCAGGCACCACCACCCTGGGCTCTGGAGTCAGGCAGAGACGGTCTTGAAAGCGGGCTCTGGAGTTCTGGGGCTGAGCGCTCTCGGCAAAGTCGGGTACCCTCTTTGATCAGCTGTCACACCTGGTGATAATGGGCATCACAGAGAGATACCCTGCAAGGATGCTGTGAGATGCGCCAGGTAAAGTACCTGGGGTCAGAAAGCCACCCTCTCCTCTTCTTCTCCGTGACTGCCCTTTGCTACACAAACACACCCCGACCCCGACCGTCCCCAGCCTCCCGGTCCCTCGGGGATGGATGGTGAGGTGGGTCAGGGAAGGGGGGCCGAGCTCGGGTGACGCGGCGCTCACGTGACCCGCCGGGCGCCTACGTGGGCACCAGCCCCCGCGCCTGCCCGCCCGCCCTGCGGTCCGGTCCCGGCGCCCGCGCAGAACCAGCTGTCTGAGCTGTCCGGGCGGCGGGGGAGCAGCGAGCGGGCTTCTGCGAGCCGGAGGAGGCACAGGCCTGTCCCGGGTCCCGGCAGGTCAGTGTGAAGGTGGGCGCTGCTGGCGGACCTGGGAAGGGGAGGAGGTGGCTGGCAGTAGGAGTAGGGAGAGGGTGGAGAAAGGATCCGGGAGATTGGTGAGGAGGGGGATGCGGAGCGGGCGGGGGTGAGGGCGGGGGAGCCTGGCCCGCCTTCTTGACGACCCCCTGCACTGAGCCCTCCATCCATTTTAGTGCTGGAAATGGGGTATGGGGGAGCAACCCTGTAGTGCAACAGTGAAACGTAGACGTATTCTGGAAATAACCCCCTCTCACAATCTGCTCCCATGGAAACATCTGACCTCCGCAAAAACGGGGTGGCGCTGGGACAGGTTGCCTCCAGGGGAAGGGGACACAGAGACAAACGCAGTTTGGAAAGCATCCTGGTTTGGTGCCTGAGGCCTGGAGAGAAATGGCGGTTGGGGTGCGGGGGATGTAGGGGAGGAAAACGTTGGATGAGCAGGGCCTGGACTCAGGAAAGGGAAACGAGTCCCTGTGAGACTGCTGAGTGCGCAGCCCCTACCCCTGTCTCCTGTCTGTCCACAGGTCTGCGCGTCTGTTCCCAGGGCTCTGCGAGGCCTGAAAAGGAGCAGCAACCTGTCCAGAATCCCCGCAGGTCCGTGAAGGTGGTTGGAGGGGGGCTCCATGGACAAGGCCCTATAAGGGTTGAGAGTGTGGAGGGCCCGGCCAAGGCCGAATTGGGGCCCCTGCCCATCCCCCAGTCACATGAACACACACCTTACCAGGCTGAACCAGGACAGAGAAGGTGGCAGGGCCTGCCAGGGAATGGCTAGCTCACGTGTGTGGGAGGAGTGGCAGGCTACGTGGTGGGCAGAAGGCCCTCTTGCAGGCCCGGCCAGCTTAGGGGAACCCTCACCAGGGGTAAGATGCAAGTACTATCCAGACCTGCATTCCACCCCACGCACTCAGTCTCCCATGTCTCTTAATTGTCTCCTCTTCCCTCCATTCCCATCCTCCAGGACAGGAAAAGGAGGGGAAATCTCGACATGGAAAAACCCTACAATAAAAATGAAGGAAACCTGGAAAACGAGGGAAAGCCAGAAGATGAAGTAGAGCCTGATGATGAAGGAAAGTCAGACGAGGAAGAAAAGCCAGACGTGGAGGGGAAGACAGAATGCGAGGGAAAGAGAGAGGATGAGGGAGAGCCAGGTGATGAGGGACAACTGGAAGATGAGGGGAGCCAGGAAAAGCAGGGCAAGTCCGAAGGTGAGGGCAAGCCACAAGGCGAGGACAAGCCAGCCTCCCAGGCAAAGCCAGAGAGCCAGCCGCGGGCCGCCGAAAAGCGCCCGGCTGAAGATTATGTGCCCCGGAAAGCAAAAAGAAAAACGGACAGGGGGACAGACGATTCCCCCAAGGACTCTCAGGAGGACTTACAGGAAAGGCATCTGAGCAGTGAGGAGATGATGAGAGAATGTGGAGATGTGTCAAGGGCTCAGGAGGAGCTAAGGAAAAAACAGAAAATGGGCGGTTTTCATTGGATGCAAAGAGATGTACAGGATCCATTTGCCCCAAGGGGACAACGGGGTGTCAGGGGAGTGAGGGGTGGAGGTAGGGGCCAGAGGGGCTTACACGATATCCCATACCTTTAATGCCTTTGGCCTTCCATTCTGACTTCTCTGATGAGAATATTGCTGGCCCTGCTTTCCCTGGTAGGTATTTGCCAGGCCCAATGCTTTAACCTTAAGCTGATACTTTGCTTTAGATGTCAATCTCGTTACCAGCAGCCTTTTGACCCAACTACAGTGCTCTATATTTTAGTAGAGGATTTTCACCCATGTGCATGGAAAAGATGTTCATGGTACATTGTAAAAAAATAAAAAATAAAAATAAAAAAAAGTTTGCAGAACCGCATACACAGTATCAGCCCGTTTTTATAAAAATGTAAATGTTTGCATAATGCATTTGTGCACAAAGAAAACTCTGAAAGCATGTACACTAAAAAGTAGCCAATGGTTATTCCTGAATGGTAGCCAAAAATGAGTTCAATCATCTGCTGGGTAGGTACCTCCATGCCATTCTGCTGTTGTTGTGCCCATCCTCATGTCTTCCCTAGGTGTAACTAGGTGAGTGGGCACTGCTACCCTTTCTCCTGTGTCCTATGGCTCCGCCATAGGATGTGATTCTTTTTCTTTTCTTTGCTGTCATCTCCACCTTTTCTTAAAGGATATGTCCTTTTGTCATAATAATAATTTGAAAAACTAAATGAGAAAACAATGCATAAGCAATTGAACTGTTCAGTGAGCCTATGAGGGTAATAAAGACACTTAAAATTTCTGTTGCCAGAACATAAAATGATAAGTAAAATTTATATTACCTCTGAGACTAATAGCTAAAGGTATCAACCTGGCAGTTATAACAAATCCATTGCTGTAAGGGTCAGTCTTGCCATCTGTGAAATGGGAATAATACTTATCTCACAGGACTGCACAGTGGATCAGATGAGGTATTGAACACGTGAGCTGTCCTTACAGTAGCAGAACCCAGCACCCTGTCAGACACTTAAAAGAAGAGCTGAAGGTAGGTTTCACCTGTCCCCAGGAACAAGTCCAAGCAGCTGAGTAGAGGATGCCATCCTTCTCTGGATACTATCATATCTGCTGGGCACTTCTCTTCTGCTATGCCCTGTATATGTACTGTCTGCTGACAGCCGCTGATATAATGGAGTACTCATGGTGACAAAGCCCTTCTGATTCCCTACAGTCCCCAAAGGGCCACAGTTCCAACTGCAGGCGGTTCTACTCTAGGGCTTCCTGGGGCCCACTGTATTACACAGTTCTTAGCAAAGTAGCCATTAACATTTTTAGTTCATTTTATATTTGCTTACAGCTTCATTTCTCTTCTTAGGACTTGAGACATTTTGGGTCTACTTGGGACTATGTCCTGAGTCTAACCTATTGACTAGATAATGAACTGTGTTTGAACCAAACATCCTACTCCAGTACCACAGGTGAACCCTATCTAAATTTTTGTACCTTTCTAAGTGTGAGTTTTTTCTAAAAAGCCTTGTTGGCTGGCCTACTATACAAAATCAAGGGACTTATCCATACATAATCACAGAGATAACCCTGTGTGAAACATCCCTTCCCATACTAAACCACTTGCAACTGAAAAAGGAACAGTGCTCTTAAAAATATTAAAAACTCTCAGGCATTTTTATTTAGCCCACCAGTATATTCTCTTATCAAAACAGACTTTTAAAAAATTCATCCTGATATCCCTTACACTGTACTTGACACATATATTTAACAATTACTTGACTATGACTGAGTCAGGAGCCCTGAGGTTTTGGCCCAGTTTATCCTTGGGCAAGTAATTTCACTTGTCGAAAATACAACTTGAAATTCAAAACTAAATAATACAGGAGAAGTGATAATTCTAAATTCAGCTCATAAACCATTTTAACAGTGTATAAAAATGATTTTTTTCAAAATATGTTAAACAACTCCCTGGGAAGCTTGTTTAGAATGTAAGCTTGTTTAGAATGTAATTGTTGTTAGAATGTCCTGGTCCCTGGCACAAACCCAGAATTTCTAGGAAAATGGTTCTAGAACCTGCAATTTCCACAAACTGCCCAGGTAATTCTGATGTACACTAAAGTTTAACACTTTGCATGATCTCAATTAATTAAATATAAACCATAAAAAAGTAGGAGGAAGTATAAGGAAATGTTTATCTGAATTCAGTAGGCACAAAGCATATATGTACCAACATCTTTTAAAAAATCAAACTATGTGCTAGATTTGTACATTGACAACAACAAAACATTTATGAGAGAAATGAAGATTTAAATAAATGGAAAGATACATTGTTCATGGATTGGAATGGCTGCAAAGAAACAGTGGCACAGGACTCCCTCAAGGTAGATGCCCTAACCAAGGTTCTGCCTGTTTTTACCCTTTGGGAAGGTCTTGAAATCTAAAGACTACCAGGTCACATTCCCTTCTAAATAGTCCGTATCTGTTTATTCAGGTAGTGAGTGTACCCACTGGGGGCATCCACTGCAGAGGAAACTATCGATAATTGGGAGGAAAAAATGACCATCTCTGTAGATATCATTCAGCCTCCCTGCCACTGCTATCCCAATGTTTGCTCAATGGGCCCTTGTACAAAACTATGCGAGAGCTCAACAATACTGACTTCCCATACCAACCTGATCTGACTATTCTCATAGCTGAGTATGAAACCTGCCAACAGCAGAGGCCATTGCTGAGACCCTAATATGGTATCATTTCCAGAGGGAAGGTTGATTATATTACTTTGTGCCCTATAAATATATACAATTATAAATTGTCAATTAACAATAATTATTTAAACTATGAGAAATAATACACAAGTACAATGTAGCAAGATACAATATCAATATACAAAATCAATTGCATTTCTTTATAGTAGAAATTAACAATCTGAAATGAACTTAAAATGATTCCATTTACAATGGTATCAAAAAGAAAAACAATCTTGGGAATAAATTTAACAAAACAAACGCCAGACTTGTATATGGAAAAGTACAAAATGTTGTCAAAAGAAATTAAAGACAACGTAAATAAATGGAAATAAATTCAATGTTCATTGACTGAAAGACTTAACATTGTTCAGATGGCAATATTCCCTCATTGATCTACAGACTTAAGGTAATCGCTATCAAAATCTCACCTGGCTTCTTTGCAGAAAATGACAAAGTGATCCTAAATTGTAATGACTGAAAACAGACAAAATAATCTTGAAAAACAGTAACAAATGGAGTTCTTACACTTTCTAACTTCAAAACTTACCACAAAGCAATAGTAATCAAGACAGGGTGGTCCTACCATAAGGATAGATATATAAATCAATGGAATAGAACTGAGAATCCAGAAGTAAACTCTCACTTTTATGCTCAATGGATTTTCAACAAGTCTACCAAGACAATTCAAAGGGAAGATAATAGTTTTTAAACTAATTGTGATGAAACAATTTGATATCCACATGCCAAAGAATGAATTTAGAACATTATGTCACACCCTATATCAAAGTGAACTCAACACAGATCATAAATATAAATGAAAGAGCTAAAACTATACAGCTCTTAGAAGAAAACATATGCATAAATATTCATGACCTTGAGTTAGGCAATTTTACTTAGATATGACAACAAAATCATATATGACAATAGATACATTCCACTTCATGAAAATGGAAATGTTTTGTGCTTCAAATGATAACATCGAGAAAATGAAAAGATGATCTACCAGATGGGAGGAAATAACTGCAAATAATACATCTGATAAGGAGCTAATTTCCAGAATATATAAAGAACTCTTACAACTCAACCTTAAAAAAAAGAGAACCCAATTTTAAAATGGGCAAATGATTTGAATAGATATTTCTCCCAAGAAGATATACAAATGTCCAATAGGCATATGAAAAGAAGCTCAACATTATTAGTCACTAGGGAATGTAAACCAGAACCACAAAGTGATACCACTTCACACACAGTAGGATGGCTAAAATGAAAGAGATAGAAAATAAGTTTTGGTGAGGATGGAGAGAAACGAGTCCTCACACATTGCTGATGGGAATGCACTTGCTTGGCATAACAAATCGGCAATTCTTTAAAATGTTAAACATAATGTGTCATATGACCTAGCAATTCCATTCCTAGGTATATACCCAAGAGAAATGAAAACATACAGTCATGTAAAATGTATACACAAATGTTTATAGCAGTATTGTTCATAATAGCCAAAATATAGAAAAAAAAATCCATGAACTGGTGAATAAACAAATATGGTATATTATACAATATATTTGGCAATAAAAAGGAAGTAGTACTGATACATGGTATAGCATGGATGAACTTTGAAAACATTATGCTAAGTGAAAGTAGGCAGTCACAAAATACCACATATTTTATTATTCAATTTATAATAAATGGCCATATCAACAAATCTATAGAGAAAGTAGATTCGTGGTTGCATAGGGCTTGCAGAAGGGCAGGAATGAAAAATGATTGGTAATAGGAAGGTTTTATTTAGGGTTGATGAAAATGTAAAACTGGATAATGGTGATGGTTGCCCACCTCCATAAATATTCTAAAAACCATTGAATTGTGCACTTTACATGGGTGAATTATAAGGCATATGAATTATCTCTCGATAAAGCTGTTAAAGAAAAATAATTATCTACAATAAAAATAAGAACGTGTTACATGGCTTGTAACATATGTAGAAGTAAAATGTACAATGTGGTGGTTAATATTGAGTGTCAACTTGATTGGATTGAAGGATGCAAAATATTGTTCCTGGGTGTGTCTGTCAGGGTATTGCCAAAGGAGATTAACACATGAGTCACTGAACTGGGAGACGCAGACCCACCCTCAATCTGGGTAGGCACCATCTAATCAGCTGCTAGCGTGACTCAGATAAAAGACTAGAATGGCTTAAGTCTTCCGGCCTACATTTTTCTCCCTTGCTGGATGCTTCCTGCCCTCAAACATCAGACTCCAAGTTCTTCAGTTTTTGGACTCTTGAACCTTTGACCACAGACTAAAGGCTGCACTGTCGGCTTCTCTACTTTTGAGGTTTTGGGACTCAGACTGGCTTCCTTGCTCTTCAACTTGCAGACGGCCTATTGTGGGACTTCGCCTGGTGATTGTGTGAGTCAATACTCCTTAATAAACTCCCCTTTATATATACATCTATCCTATTAGTTCTGTCCCTCTAGAGAACCCTGACTAATACGTACAACAACAGAAAAAAAGATGGGAGGGGGAATGCACAGTTGTAGGGTTCTTCCATCATCCATGAAATCATTTACAGTTGACCCTTGAACAACACAGGTTTGACCTGTGTTTTTTGATGTGGATTTTTCCA